CTATTTCAAAACTTGAGGAACTTTTAATGTTGTGCACTTCGAACATCAATTTCAGTTTTCTAAAGCAGTCTTGACCACAGATTGATGGTGTGGCCATGGGAAGCCCTCTAGGCCCTATTTTCGCGGACATCTTTGTGGCACACTTGGAGGAACAGATGTCTTTGGATATTGATAGTTTAGTGTTTTACCGACGTTACGTTAACGTATTTATCATCGCCACTAACAAACAACAGGCAGAGTCGTTTCACACCAAAATGAATCAAATGCACAAAAACGTCACTGTGTCCCTACAACATGAACTACAACACTTTGGCCTTTTTAGACATTTTAATCAGACGTAGAGATGATGGTACTATTGAAAGGTCAGTTTTTCGTAAAGACACTTGGACGGGCCAATACATCCATTTTAGACAGTTTTGCACCTTTGCAATACAAACGTGGTCTAGTGAGGACATTATTCCACCGTGCTAGGAAGATTTTATGTTCCATCGACACGCTACAAGCTGAGTTTGATACGATTAAACAAACACTGCTTTCTAATGGATATCCAGGTGGCTTTATTAAGTGCCATTGCCAGCCGCCTAAACCAGTTACCTTAGAAATGTCGGAGCCAAAAAAACTAGCCTATATACATCTAACGTTTCGGGGAGACGACGTCATGCAACGTATATATGACCGACTCAAAACAGCAGTCCGTCAAACCTTTTACGCAGCCATGCCTGTTATGAGATTTAAAACCACCAGGATTCCTACACCACCAGTAAAAGAACCAGTGTCGACGTACGCCAGATCTAACTGTATATACCAATTTAAATGCACCTGTAACGCTGCATATGTGGGCAGAACTGATCGACGACTGGAACAACGGGTTGCTGAACATATTCCACTATGGTTGGTAAAAGCAATGCAGAACACTAACACCTCAACAACAACGAATCAGGTAACTTGTCGAAATAATCCATCATCAGCAATTGCGTGCCATATTCTAAATTCCGGGCACATCATTAACAGGGATGATGCATTCCGAATTATTTACAGTTCGGCTAACCGTAGATTACTTCGATACGCGGAAGCTTCAGCGATTGGCAGATTGAAACCGGAACTTTGTAGGCAAAAGGAAATGGTCGTTGCCCTACGTTTACCTTGGTGAAACAGTTTGAAATCTACTCGAATTTGTGTTTCAGTTTCTAGGATTCAGCTATTTGCTTCATTTTAATTAATTGTTACTGAAGTATGCACCTGATGAGATACAGCGAAATATGCCAGGCAATAAATTGTGCAGTCTATTGTTTGTGTCTTCTTTGTTCAAATTTACAACGGGGAAACATTGCTTTGATTATTTGAAACGTCGCCTCCCACAATCAACTGTGAAGCGACTGGATGGATTATTTAAACTGAAATGCAAAATCGCAGTACAGGATTGTCGGTTACGGTTTCTTGGAGAATGCCTTACATCTGGAATATTTCCTCACCGTTATCTTAGATCGCTGAGAGCTGAGAAAATCTGCCCAACGGTACGAAATTTGAGGCGAATGACGAAAAATTACATAGAAGAAATCCAATCGAAATTGATCAATCTAAGGCGAATTCACAGTTCGGCCTACAATATTACTAACGATCTGACTTTGTATTGTTATTTAAAGTTCACAAAGTTTTGTATTGAAACATTGGGTAAAGTGAAAATTCAAGAAACTACACGTTTAAAGAAGTCATTGAGTTCGGAAAAGATTACCACTTCTGTGCTTGACAATCCTGAGAAACATGTGATTAATCTGTCTTCGTTTACACTCAGTAAACTACAAACTGAAGCTCTTGCTTACGGATTAAAGTTCTGCGTAAAACCTAAACAAATCAACCCCATCGAGTCACAAGCTCAATTTGAAATGTTCTTTGATCAGCTGTCGACATTGACCCCGTCGTCTACCGATTCGGTTGGTTGGTTAAAAGCTAGATTGGTGGATTTGGAACATCAGTACCGCACATCCCAGTCTAAGCAAAAGTGTCCATTATCTAAAGAGCATATTATTGCTCTGAAAACATTAAAAGCCAACGAACAATTAATAATACTGAAACCAGACAAAGGAAATGGTGTAGTTCTGATGGACAAGTCAAACTATCAAACCAAAATGGAAGAAATATTATCTGATCAATCAAAATTTCTGCTGGATTCCAAAGTAAATTACGTTAATAACATGGAAGCGAAAATGAAGAAAGTAATCAAATCACTCTTGGCAGGAAAATTCATCAGCGAAGCTACCGCTAAGATGCTCACACCGTGTGGCTCACTAATACCGCAGTTGTATGGTCTTCCAAAAGTACACAAACCTGGAATGCCCCTTAGGCCCATCCTGTCAATGATAAACTCAGCTCAACATGGTTTAGCTAAATGGCTAGCGGAATTACTAAAACCAGTACGACAATCATTTGAGCCCAAAATACTCAAAGATTCATTTGAACTGGCAGAAATACTGGACACAATGAATGTAAATCAAAAATACATGGCATCAATGGATGTAACATCACTATTTACAAACGTGCCCTTGGAAGAAACCGTGAAAATTATATGTGACCGTATAGAAAATAAACATCTGCAGGTAGGTTTACCTATTTCAAAACTTGAGGAACTTTTAATGTTGTGCACTTCGAACATCAATTTCAGTTTTCTAAAGCAGTCTTACCGCCAGATTGATGGTGTGGCCATGGGAAGCCCTCTAGGCCCTATTTTAGCGGACATCTTTATGGCACACTTGGAGGAACAGATGTCTTTGGATATTGATAGTTTAGTGTTTTACCGACGTTACGTTGATGACATATTTATCATCGCCACTAACAAACAACAGGCAGAGTCGTTTCACACCAAAATGAATCAAATGCACAAAAACGTCACTGTGTCCCTACAACATGAAAGTAGTAACACTTTGGCCTTTTTAGACATTTTAATCAGACGTAGAGATGATGGTACTATTGAAAGGTCAGTTTTTCGTAAAGACACTTGGACGGGCCAATACATCCATTTCAACAGTTTTGCACCTTTGCAATACAAACGTGGTCTAGTGAGGACATTATTCCACCGTGCTAGGAAGATATGTTCCATCGACACGCTACAAGCTGAGTTTGATACGATTAAACAAACACTGCTTTCTAATGGATATCCAGGTGGCTTTATTAAGTGCCATTGCCAGCCGCCTAAACCAGTTACCTTAGAAATGTCGGAGCCAAAAAAACTAGCCTATATACATCTAACGTTTCGGGGAGACGACGTCATGCAACGTATATATGACCGACTCAAAACAGCAGTCCGTCAAACCTTTTACGCAGCCATGCCTGTTATGAGATTTAAAACCACCAGGATTCCTACACCACCAGTAAAAGAACCAGTGTCGACGTACGCCAGATCTAACTGTATATACCAATTTAAATGCACCTGTAACGCTGCATATGTGGGCAGAACTGATCGACGACTGGAACAACGGGTTGCTGAACATATTCCACTATGGTTGGTAAAAGCAATGCAGAACACTAACACCTCAACAACAACGAATCAGGTAACTTGTCGAAATAATCCATCATCAGCAATTGCGTGCCATATTCTAAATTCCGGGCACATCATTAACAGGGATGATGCATTCCGAATTATTTACAGTTCGGCTAACCGTAGATTACTTCGATACGCGGAAGCTTCAGCGATTGGCAGATTGAAACCGGAACTTTGTAGGCAAAAGGAAATGGTCGTTGCCCTACGTTTACCTTGGTGAAACAGTTTGAAATCTACTCGAATTTGTGTTTCAGTTTCTAGGATTCAGCTATTTGCTTCATTTTAATTAATTGTTACTGAAGTATGCACCTGATGAGATACAGCGAAATATGCCAGGCAATAAATTGTGCAGTCTATTGTTTGTGTCTTCTTTGTTCAAATTTACAACGGGGAAACATTGCTTTGATATGGTTTTTGACTGACCTTAAGAATCTAGGTTATGATAGTAAACAATGTATGTTATCATAATTATTTCTTTGTATCTTATTATTACTGCGTCACATTGTAAATATTTTCTTGTGATTAAATTGTAAAATTGTTTTTACATACTGTGACTGTTGAGACGGTCACCATTCATAGAGAAGAATATTTGCTTTAGCAAATTACTTATAGGCAGCCTTGGTAGCTCAGTAGATGGATACCTGTCTGCCAGTCGAGGGTGCTTGGGTTTGAATCCAAATTTAAATGGATATTTATATTTGATCTGAACTCCTAGGCCAACATAGCTTCAAACTGGAATTAGAGTAATGTTTTGGAGTGTAATGGTGGTTGGTACGATATTGACCAAATCAGCCATTGAGTGCTCATTGGCCAATAAAGATTGTATGTCTGGCACCATATGCCTGATGGCAGAGACCAAAGCAATAACATGCCTGAAGACACAGACCTTTTCCCGCGCATGCTTTCTTAATGATTCAGTGAGTATGCTTAGGAAGATAGAGAAAGGCTGGATTCGAAGACTGTGGGTGGAGTCTCTGAAGCGGTTGGGGCTGGCACATATCAGTTTCATATCTGTGCCAGGGCACCTAGGCGTGCAAGTAAATGAGCTAGCTGATCGGCTTGCAGGGGAAGTTACTATGGATGATATGTACCATGCTGATGTTCGGAATGCTCTACAAGAAGTAAGACTTTTGCGAGAACCCAGTGATGACTGTGAATCTGCAACAATGATTGCAAAAACAGCATGTTAAAAGGGGTGTGGCCAGACAAGAGTGCCATGCAGGAAGTCAAAGAAGAATAAGAAACCAACACAGAAGCTGGTGTCGTGAGCCGCTACAGGCTGCAGGATTTTCTAAGGAGGAGACCAGAGCACTTATGGACTGAATGGTTCGATGTCCAGTGAGGGTAATCTGTCAGTTACCTAACTAACTAAACTAACATGCCTGATGCACTAATGCTTTACTTACTGACACAGAATTCATTTATATATTCACATGCCTCATATAATCAAACTGTTCTTCTACAGATAGTGGAGATGTCAAAAAAGACCTGGGACATATTCTTGACTTCATAACTAGAGCCAAGCATTTGAAGGTAATCAGTCATAAAGTATATTCTACATAAACAACATGAAAATCATGTGACTGATGAACTTATGATCAGATAGATTATATTTTATTAAATAATAGAAAGTCATCAAATAAATCTTACATCTAGTTGGAAGCTATAAAGAAGATTGGTGCCATATTTCCTTATTGGTGCAGAATTAACAGTAAAGCTTAAGAAATCCTGCTAGGCTTGTACGCAAAGGTCACATCCACATTACAATAGAGAAGGATTGCATAAAACACCAGTGAAAGAAAAGTTGTAGATGGATAAAGCGTAAAAGTGAATTTTTTTTTATATCCACCAAAGGCAAAGATTGACCAAACATGGATAGTTATTTATACTATAATTCAAACAACTATGGAAGAGTACTTTGCTGTAGGAGAATACCTAAGTATGTCAACCATAAACTGAAAGAACAAATAGCACATGCAAATATGTTTTAAAAAAAAAGTGATTTAAAACTTGCCAGACAGATATGGCTAAATGACACCAGCAGCATTCTAAATGAGCAGAAATCTAGAACAGGGTGTTAGGAAGCTTCAAAAGTAATTACGCAGCAAACTTGAGAACTATTGTCAAAGATGAACTAATCACCAGAACAACAAATCCAGAAAGTTTTTTTGAAGAACTGTAAGGAATAAATGAGAACATCAGCACAGCAAAAATGGTTTGAAAGGTAACAATGGGAATATGATAATTAACAGTGTAGAAATATGTAACAGATGGAACAAATATACTTTGATGAATTGGTTAATTGTGAAAATCCAATAAATTCTTTCTCCACATGAAGAGATACCAACATGTGAGCCAAATACTGAAGCGCTATATTTTGAAGATGTGCTGTATCATATAACAGCTTTAAAACAAAAAGGTAACTGGTGCTGATAGAATTTCTTCAGGCATTTGTTGCTGGTCCCATACTTGAATGAACAAACAAACTTTTAAAAGACTTACAATTTGGGCACGCAGGCCTGTCTTACAATCAGCCTTTCCAGACACTCATATGTCAGGCCAGAATTGTATGCAGGAAGTTGGGCGTCTTGCCGCTACCCAACCCAGCGAAACAATTTTGCTTTCGAAACTTGCATTGTAATATAAAGTGTTATTTTAGTATCTAGTAATACATGTTTGTTTTTCAGTATTGGTTCCATTTGTTCAGTAATTTGTTTAACTTTATAACTACAATATCGTCACTGCTATATTTGTTTCACAGGTGGTATGTAGCAAGAAAACTGTTGGCTTGAGCAATATACTGATGTACAAACTGCCATTCGATCTGACATTGTTCAAGTCACTTCAGACCTTAGAGGTACTTATTTACTTTTGAGTTTTTATTTACTTAAACCACTTTTTGTGTGTGGCGAGAAATTGAATTTGATTGAGATAATGTTTGTTTTGGTCCAAGAATGTTGTTATTTTTTGCAGTCTAACTAATTTTATACTAACTAATTCATAGTGAGACCAACATATTGAAAAACGTTTTTCTTGTATGATGAAAATGTAAAATTCAGTCATGCCATAAAATGTACTCGTGTCATAAAAAGTTATTCATGTGTTCATCATTGACTTTTTCTTTCTTCTTCTTCGGTTTTCTGTGTGTACATTTATGGTTTCTTGTTCTGAGTTGATGTATAAATTTTTTTTAAAAATCTCATAGACAGTGTATAGAACTGTGCTTACATAGACAGTGTATAGAACTGTGCTTGCATAGACAGTGTATAGAACTGTGCTTGCATAGACAGTGTTATAGAAAACTGTGCTTGCATAGACCAGTTGTATAAACTGTGCTTGCATAGGACAGTGTATAGAAACTGTGCTTGCATAGACAGTGTATAGAACTGTGCTTGCATAGACAGTGTATAGAACGTGGCATTTCATAGACAGTGTAATAGAACTGTGCTTGCATAGACAGTGTATAGAACTGTGCTTGCATAGACAGTGTATAGAACTGTGCTTGCATAGACAGTGTATAGAACTGTGCTTGCATAGACTGTGTATAGAACTGTGCTTGCATAGGCAGTGTATAGAAACGTGCTTGCATAGACAGTGTATAGAACTGTTTTATTGCATAGACAGTGTATAGAACTGTGCTTGCATAGACAGTGTATAGAACTGTGCTTGCATAGACAGTGTATAGAACTGTGCTTGCATAGACAGTGTATAGAACTGTGCTTACATAGACAGTGTATAGAACTGTGCTTGCATAGACAGTGTATAGAACTGTGCTTGCATAGACAGTGTATAGAACTGTGCTTGCATAGACAGTGTATAGAACTGTGCTTGCATAGACAGTGTATAGAACTGTGCTTATTTCTTCTCCTTTCGTTCACTTGAAATAAATTATCTATAAGTGCAATGTTGTATCTAGTATGAACTTCACTGTAATTTAGTAAATAACCCGTTTCGCTTGCATCGGTGTTTCTATTAGCCAAATGATTTGCCTTGATATGTTGTATTTGAGGACATTCTTGGAGGATGTGTTGTCTCAGGTGTCAATCCACATGTGCACATGGCTAATTCACCAATGTTAAATTTTGTGTGCATGTGGCTGTGAAGTCGACTGTGTCCTGTTCTAAGGCGTAGAAAAATGACTCGCTCTGGTCTGTTCATAAAATGGTAATCGCCTTTTGTCAGTTTTGGCAGCTTCCTGATTGATTTGATTATTCTCTGTTTTGTTGATAAGAGACTGTTACTTCAGGTTGTTCTTCATTTGCACCTTCCTTAGCTAGTTTATCAGCTCTTTAATTTCCAGGAACTCCACAGTGGGATGGTATCCATTGCATAGTTATCTTAAACCGGCTGCCTAGTTTGCAGAGTAGTTTCCGTATACAAGATAATTTTCCATATTTGAGTGCCTCAAGTACCCCTCTTGCATCTGTCAGGAAATACCACAGGTTGTGAAATATGACATACATTTAGTAGTTTCTTTGCTGGTATTTTGATGGCAAGAACGACTGCATCATAGTTGTGACAGTACTTTCCTGTTGCTATTTTGATGGCAGGAACGTCTGCATCGTAGTTGTGACAGTACTTTCCTGTTGCTATTTCCTGATGATTGCAAGAACAGGAATCGTATGCATCGTAGTTGTGGCAAAACGTCTGCATCACAGTACTTTTCCTGTTGCTATTTTGATGGCAGGAATGTCTGCATCACAGTTGTGACAGTACTTTCCTGTTGCTATTTTGATGGCAGGAATGTCTGCATCACAGTTGTGACAGTACTTTCCTGTAGGTAGTTTGGCTGTATATCTGGTATAATTTGGATGCTCTCAATGTACACTCCTGCTCCTCAACCTATCTGTATAGACACGAACGCAAAGATCCTGTGGGTAATCATCGTCAGATAGACTGCGGGTGGCTATTTTTACGCTGCATACCATTTTGTTCTTCCTTGTTGAATACTTCTTTCACTTCTGTCTGGATGTGTATTGGCAACATATAATCCTCTTTCGATCTGGGATAGCACTTAAGGGGCTATCAGTCGCAGGCAGTTCATTGGTTTGACTGCAGTCTTTGGGCCTGGTGGATGAAACTGTGTCTTTTTAGTCGCCGCATTGCTTCATGCTAAGAAACTTTTCTGCTTGTATTAGTATTTTGGTGTCTCTGCGTTCTATCAGTGTTTGGGTCATTACCATCTTCTCCATCACAGCTATAGGTGTTGATTTCATCCCACCTGTTATGCCTTTAAGTGCTTATTTGTGTTTATTTCTCTCACTATAGAACTACATTTATTCATCTGATAATAGATGATATATAGACTTATGTTTATTTGTTCAATATATGATGTGTAGAACTATGTTTATTTGTCTGATAGATGATGTATAGAACTGTGTTTTTTTGTCTGATAGATGATGTATAGAACTGTGTTTATTTGTCTGATAGATGGTGTATAGAACTGTGTTTATTTGTCTGATAGATATGTGGTTGCAACTTCAGGATTGTCAGTGGGCTTGAGTCTGTGAAGCAAACAGTCACCAAGTTTGAAGTTCACCAGTCATCTTCTTCTATGAAGGTTTGTAATCTAGAGTTAACAGCTGAGAATCAATATCACAGTACTCAAGACATTCCCATAAATGCTATGTCCCCATCTTCAACAGCTGGGTGCACAGTTCCTGGACTAATGGTTCCAATTGTAGTTTGATTATATGTTGTCTTGTCTTTCCTCAGAGAAAGGTCACATTTAAATTTAAGTTTAGGAGAGCCTTCTTCATGGCACTGGGTTTGATCCTATATGGCTCAGTCTCTGCGCAGACTACAGCAGGGAGCATCATAGATAGCACACACTACGTAGCTTCAGTGACGATCCCCGGCAAATCTCTTGTTGAAACTGCTCTTTTGAACTAAATGACATGTCCCTCCTCTGAGACTTGAGTGTCTACCAGATTCTGCGGTCACTTCCATTTGTATTAGTCTTCTTGTTCATGATGACCTGTTGGTCTTAGTTTGTAAACTAGGGAAAAAAGAAGTCGGGGGGGGGGGGGGGGGGTGTGTTAGAGCAGCTTGGGGATATCGTGACTGCATGTTATTAAACAAAAAGGCAGGATAAGCCCACTTGAGGATATCGTGACTGCATGTTATTAAACAAAAAGGCAGGATAAGCCCACTTGAGGATATTGTGACTGCATGTTATTAAACAAAAAGGCAGGATAAGCCCACTTGAGGATATCGTGACTGCATGTTATTAAACAAAAAGGCAGGATAAGTCCACTTGAGGATATCGTGACTGCATGTTATTAAACAAAAAGGCAGGATAAGCCCACTTGAGGATATCGTGACTGCATGTTATTAAACAAAAAGGCAGGATAAGCCCACTTGAGGATATCGTGACTGCATGTTATGAAACAAAAAGGCAGGATAAGCCCACTGGAGGATATTGTGACTGCATGTTATTAAACAAAAAGGCAGGATAAGTCCACTTGAGGATATCGTGACTGCATGTTATTAAACAAAAAGGCAGGATAAGTCCACTTGAGGATATCGTGACTGCATGTTATTAAACAAAAAGGCAGGATAAGTCCACTTGAGGATATCGTGACTGCATGTAATTAAACAAAAAGGCAGGATAAGTCCACTTGAGGATATCGTGACTGCATGTTATTAAACAAAAAGGCAGGATAAGTCCACTGGAGGATATCGTGACTGCATGTTATTAAGCAAAAAGGCAGGATAAGTCCACTGGAGGATATCACAACCACCTGCTGTCATTGGTTATCATACCTGACTTATTCACAACCGCCTGATGTCATTGGTCATCATACCTGACCTATTCACAACCGTCTGCTGTCATTGGTCATCATACCTAAACTATTCAAAACCGCCTGCTGTCATTGGTCATCATACCTGACCTTTTCACAACCACCTGCTGTCATTGGTCATCATACCTGACCTATTCACAACCGTCTGCTGTCATTGGTCATTATACCTAAACTATTCACAACCACCTGCTGTCATTGGTCATCATACCTGACCCATTCACAACCGCCTGATGTCATTGGTCATCATACCTAACCTATTTACAACCGCCTGATGTCATTGGTCATCATACCTGACCTATTCCAAACCACCTGCTGCCATGTGTAATGTCAGTCTTCTACAGATTTATGCATTATGGCTTAGGCATTACGAACATGCTTTGAAGTGCCAGGGTACTGGGTTCGATTCCAGCTGCGGGCAGTTTTACAGCAGAACATCTTGCATTGGTTTTTAACAGTGGTACCGAGAAACCACTGAACGTGCTGGGGTTGGTTCTGCAATGTCCTGCAAAAGGATCCGCAACTAACTGATTTATTCTCTACAATCTTTCTTTTTCAGTTGAGAAGACGAATCCTCAAGAGCTTGGTAAATCCTATCATGGTATACAGAGATGACTAATGGACATTTGCACGATTAGTGAACAATTATAAATTTTGTTCCCAGGGTATGTTGGCGTGAAAGGCAGTAAGGGGACAGATGCTCTGGCTGGCAGTAGGACTATCAGGAATGGACTGTATATTGACAGAAGAGACATCATCAACGCCATACGAGAGACTAAATGCTGTGGGGCTTTCAGAGTGGAAAATGAATGTTCACTATTTTCACAATCAAATTGCTCAAGAGTTACAGGCAACAGTAGATAAGTTGATCGACTGGTGTACGGAGATGAGTGCTGTAATAAACCCAGAAAAGGCAAAAGGTGTTCTTTTCACAACAGGATTGTTAGAGCTGATTTTCAAAGCCTCAAAATAAATGGCAGGGACATCAGGAGAGACAGCAAACTGCAGTACCTGGGAATCACCATTGACAGAAGCTTGTCTTTCAAGGATCACATAGAGGTGGTTGTGACAAGGGCTAAAAAAGATAAAAATGCACTAAAGATTATGGCTGCGATGGACATGGAGCAGAGAATGCTGTTCACACTTTACCAGCACCTAATCATCTTAGTGATCATGGGTTGTGTTTGCTCACTGTCTGTCTCGAGGAATCATCTAGAGAAACTGGAGTGCATACAGAATGAATCTATGTGGGTGATCCTGGGATGTACAAGAGACACCCCGATTGTGTGCATGAGATACATCCTTGCATGCTGACTATTGCAGACAGGCTGAAGGTGCTGCAGGCCAAGTCATACTTCAAAGCAGCTGCAGATAAAGAGACCCTATGTATGAAGCTTTGGATGCAGTTAAGTGTCAGAGGCAAGGTCACGGGTCGTGAGCATACTTTGGATCTTTTTTCCAGGTCATGCCGGCATGGTGGGGACTGGCTGGAAATGCACCGCTGGGTGATGAATTGATGCATGACAAAGCAGATGTGGTCAGAGCCCTTTGGGAACAAGTAACGAAGTCAGAAGACAAAGTAGATTTTTATGGGCTGGAGAGAATGATGCACCTGGGTGTGACCAGAAGGTTCGGCCAGCACACTACGCTCAGAGGAAAGGCGAGACAGACATACAAACGGAATACGACCGGCACTATTAGTATTAGAATTCTGTACTGGCTGCTGCGGGTGGGGACAGAGCCAATATGGAAATTGCCCATGTGCTGTGATGTCAATTCATAACTCAAAACTCAACTGATTTTTCATTAAATAGACTGCGTACCCTGGTGTACCAGTTGGAGCCGCAAGACAGGAAAACTATTCGGGAGCCACCCATCGTTACATCAGCCAGACCAGAGTGGGAGTTGTTAGCCTAAAAACACTTGGAGACAAACTCAAGAGGAGATTGGAGCACTTATGGTCATTTCCGATGTGCGATGAAGATGATCTCAGAAATAAACAATGAACTATTTGGAGGTGTCGCAGATGTAATTTTTCTACATGAATGATGAGAATACCCTGAACAGAGAAACAGAGTCATGAAGATATCTTGAAAGAAACTGAGTCAAGTAGTGAACTGATTGCCCGATACAAAAGGAGACAGTCTACATTTTTTTGGCGATCAGGTCATGAGAAGGAGACAACCAAAGTATATTATTGTGGCATTAGAAAGGTTGGTGGGCAAAAGAGGCAGAGGGAAACTGATAGAGAAGATGCTTGACAATTTGTCATCATGCCATGGAAGGTCATCATCAGAACTGATTGAAAGTACACGAGACAGAAGGTTGTGGATAGACTTGACTACCAGTGCCACACAGGATGGATTATGAGTGTCACAGAAAGCATACATTTCATTGCTGCATCGACCATCCCATATGCTATAATTGGTTTGTGAATTCCTGTTTAGGAAATACCGCTTTTGGCATTATTGATAAAATGGACTGAATATCAGACACTAATGCTTTCGGCGACTTCAGTATTTTGTAGTCACTTCTGAGTATCAGACACAATGATGACTTTAATGACTTTAGTAATTTCTAGTCACTTTAAAAATCCATTGATTGCTACCATTTCCACCTTCATTTTTGGCATTATTGATCAAATGGACTGAATATCAGACACTAATGCTTTCGGCGACTTCAGTATTTTGTAGTCACTTCTGAGTATCAGACACAATGATGACTTTAATGACTTTAGTAATTTCTAGTCACTGTAAAATGCCATTGATTGCTACCATTTCCACCTTCATTTTTGGCATTATATAACAAAAAATATCCATTTTTGAAATATACCACAGATACATCCATAGTCAATAATTACGTTTACATAAAATGCTAATAAGAAACTTGCATTAATTATTGTTTGCTTTCAGGAAATTTTCCTTCGGGATGCCCCACACTGGAGAGCAGATGATGGAGCTCTCATAGTTGATTACTGGACACTGGTCAACAAAGTCAATTTCAGTCATAATTCATTTTCAGAGATTCATGATAGTATTGTAAGTTAAAAAAAAGTATCATTCATTTGAGAGATCAATGATAGAATTGTCAATCATAACAGAGAGTTTCACTAAAGTTCAATTTCAACCATGATTCAATTTAGAGATTAATGATAGAATTGTAAGTCATATAGAAAGGTACCACTAAAGAAAAATTTCAGCCATAATTCATTTAAGAGAGGAGAGCGAAGAGGTCTTTGAAGACATTCATGACATGCTAAATAAAGTCAAATGTCAAGATAACTTTATCGTCATGGAAGACCAGACCATAGCAGAACAGATATAGAGAAACACCTCGGAGCATTTGGTGACCTCTGTAGCACAAGAAATTAAAATGGGTGCTATTCAAGAAAATCATCCTATCTCGTTCAGCTGCAAGATTTCATGGCGGTTCCCTTGGGCTGTTGTATGGGTGTTTGTTTTGAATGTTTTAAACACATTAGCCACTGATGAGAGCCGCCGACAGTGAGCCTTAAAATACAAAAACATCAATGATTCTATACTAACCAATTGTCGCTGGCACAGCGTACAAACCACTTCGAATGAATTCAAGTTTTTCGATACGGTGTATAAATGGGTAAAGAAGGCATCCTATTACAGCCTATAGGAACCACCATGAAATCTCGCAGCTGAACGAGATGGAATGATTTTTATAAGTAGTACTGAATTATGTAGCCAACATGTCCTCTTCAAACACAAGACTTCACAAGTATATACATAACATAAAAAGAATGATCTGGATATCAAAAGCCAAATTAATTTCATATTAGAGAGAAATAACAGGAACAAATATTGACTCAAAGGCAGGACCCAGTCTTAGTATAAACACCGACCACAAAGCAATTATGGCGGTCGCAAGAAGCAGTAGAAAAAAGAACAACATACCGTGCAAATAAAAATGACCAACGAATCAGTCAACCCAAAGAATCTTAAAGTAAAAAAAAAAATTATGAACAAGAATTAAATAACAGTTTTGCAAAATTACCCATAGAGAGAAAGACAGTAGAAGCAGAATGGGCGATATTTAACTCCAGATTTCTAATTGCTGCGAAACTAAGAGAAGAAGCAGAACTCAACAAAATAAACTAACAAGCTGGTGAAACGACGAAGTGAATGGCCCTGTTTAAAACAAAAACAAAAATATGTGAAATGGTTTAAGAGTAAATTCAACAATGATTATATCAAATATAGGATAACAAGAACAATAAAGAAAGCAAGGCAAGAGGACTGGCATAGATATGGAGAAATGCTTACAAAACACTACAAGGAACAAATGGAGATTTCTTTAGAAAGATTACATTCATGACAACAAGATTAAATCCATATGACCAAACTGAAATAGTCAATAGTGACAAAGGACAATCAATAAGTGAACAGAAACAAATTCTAAAGGGACAAAGAACTTTGAGCAACTTCTCAGTGTACCATCTGATGCTATAGCAACTCAAGACATTACAGTGGACACCACCGAGGAACTACAACCTGATATACAGAAAGAAGAGATCTGGGAAGCTATCACAGTTGCCCCAGTGAACAAGCACCAGGACCAGATGAAATACCAAATAAAGCAGCATAAGAAGTGGGAATAGCTTAGCTGCACAGGTCGTTTAACCATGTGTGGGTGAAACAACATTCACCACCAGACTGGGGATGTGCCAAAATCATTCCAGTATGGATGAACAAAGACAGTGAAAGAGTGGGCACACGGGGCAGAGGCATCTCTCCCCTTTTGAGTTTACTGGGGAAATAGTCTGCACATTACTAGGGAAAAGACGCATTATCATCATCATGTTCCCTGCCAACGCGTAGGAGCTCATGCCTCTCCACAAATCGCAATCCCTGGTTGCCTGGAACAGCTCTCTTGGTGTTATCCCTCCATCCCATTATTTCAGCCCATCCAGCATCATCTCTCTTTATCTGCCTCTACCTCTTTTTCCACTGATCTTTCTAGTTGTCACAATGTTCTCCGATGTCTCTCTTCTCATTATGTAGCCAAAGAGTTTGTCTCTTTCTTTTTGTTGTATACAGAGATATACTTTCATTAGCTTCTTTCAAGCAATCGTATTAGTCACTCTCGCTGTCTAAGGTATTCGTTTCATTCATCTCAGAAACCACATCTCTGTTGCTGCCAAATTATCTTTCTTAATTTGTTCAGTGACATTCCAAGATTCGCTGCCATACAACAAAACAGGTTCTATGTAACATTTTAGCACTCTCTTTCTGACATGAAATGAGAGCGATTTATTGTATAGGATATTTTTCATTTTTGGAAATGTAGCTTTCGCTTAACCTATTCTGCTTTTAATCTCTGTCACACATTTTCCATCTGATGATATGATTGTTCTCAGGTATTTGAATTTATTGACTTGGTTAAGTTTTTTTTCTTCAAAATATCACAGTGTGAAGTAATCTTCTTCTGTGATATAACCATTACTTCCATTTTCTTAATATTCAATGAAAGTCCTTTCTTAGCACTCTCCATCCCCACAATATCCAGCAGTTGTTGTAAATAGTTGCATTTTCAGCTATCAAACCTATATCGCCTGCATAACGCAAATTGTTTATATTGTATACACCAGCTCTGATTCCTGCTTTTTAATTTTTGTATTTCCCTCAAAATTCTTTCACTATATAGAGAGAAAAGGTCTGGGGATAAGACACATCACTGTCTTACTCCTTGTTTTATCTGTTCAAAAATACCCAATCTGTTTCACACTTAAATTGCGGCTAATTTGTTCCAGTAAATGTTTTTTAATTATTCTGAGATCTTTCCCATCTACATTGATGTCTTCCAACATTTTATCATCTCCTTGTGTTTAACTTTGTCAAATGCTTTAATATAATCTATACAGCCACAAATATAAGTCATTGTGTATGTCCATTGAACTTTCTATCAGTGTCTGTAATATGTGTTTTGCATTACTTGACCCTTCACCTTCCAAAAATCCACATTTCTCTTTACTCATTTCCATTCTTATTTTTGGTCTAGTTCTTGTCATTATAATTACGAGTGGTAATTTAATGACATGATTTATTAAGTTGATTGTACGAAATTCTTCGCATTCAGTTGCTCCTGGTCTTTTGGGTAACGCAATAAATACAGATTTCATCATATCACTTGGAATGTACGATTCAGTCTGTGTTTCTTCATGAGATATCTTGGGAATATAATGTGATGGTTTTTCATTGCCTTCCACATCCACATAGTGGGTTTCAACCTGCACCTTTGACAGTAATTCCCGACTGTGAGGACAAGTGGGTGCCCTTCTCTGCCCAGCTGCGGAGTGATCCACATATTCCGGTGGATACACGGTCCCCATATTTGTGTTAGCCACACAGTGGTGTGTTTCCCACCCTCCACCACTTGGAGGTGCAGTTTATGATTTTTCCTTTCATCAAATTTGAGACCAGGATGGCATTTCTCAGACTCTCTAGAGAAAATACTTCGACCTATAATGCAGCCCTGGTTAAGTTGTAGCACAAGATAGCGACTTCTTCTTTCTGGTCGTTAGGGTGTTCTTCTTGTCTTCGTTGTTCTGGTCTTCAACAGAGGGTTGTCCGTTGAATGATACAAAAATGTCAGATGTAAAAATGTCTCTTGCGCTTCTGCTATATTTGCATTACGTCATTCTTGGTTTTCTCTTATGTTGGGCTTCTATAGCTTTGGTCTTCTGGAGCTCTGTATTCTGGAACTTTAGTTGTCTGTACTGTGGGCTTCAATATCGTTGGTTTTTTAGAACTCTGGAACTTTAGACTTCTGTTAGGTGGGTCTTCTGAATTCTAGACTGCAACTCTTCTGGATGTCTTGAACTGCTGTCTTCTGGGATTAATGGCTTCTTGACGTTAATTATAAATGTCTATATTTGCTTCTTAATTTATACTGCTTGTGCCTCTGCTTCTGGACTGGTTGTCATTGTGATCCTACTAACGTCTTGAGCGTTGACTCTAACATCTCTATAGTTCCTACCTAATATGTCGCTGTTAACCATGAATCCATGTATCTTGTGTGTCATCTCTGTCGACTCTAACTGGTTCTAGTGTCTCAACTGCCACCGGGCTCCTAGTGCGGGTTGGTCCAGAGAGTTTTCATTTTTCTTTTTAAATACAACAGGGAATCTCCGTGAAGTCTGGCCTTTGTAGAGTTTTATTTTATTGTTTCTTCTTTAACCATTACAGTTCTCGCATTGTCATGAAGTATGCCCTATCACTGCTCTCTGATATATTATGTACTGTAAAAAAAAATGTGTTTAACTCTGTCTTCACTACAGATACTTGTACAAAGCTTTTAGGAGCCATTAACTCATACATTTTAGTCGGTCACTAAGCTTATTGAAAAAGGTTCCAAAAACAAGGGTGAAGGACATGATAGGGCCTGTTGTTTTGACCGCCCCATAATGAGACGCAATTTAGGTAGGGACTCTGTTACAAAGTGAAGTGCAACCATATTTGTGTTAGCCACACAGTGGTGTGTTTCCCACCCTCCACCACTTGGAGGTGCAGTTAATGATTTTCCCTTTCATCAAATTTGAGACCAGGATGGCATTTCTCAGACTCTCTAGAGAAAATACTTCGTCCTATAATCCAGCCCTGGTTAAGTGAAGTGCAACTAGGTTTTAGGAAAAACATGGGATGCACAGAAGCCATCTTTGCTCTCAGACAACTTGTAGAGAAATCAGTTGAATGTAACAAAACACTATTTAGCCTTCATTGACCAGGAAAAGGCATGTGACAGGGTGAATAGGAATTCATGGAATGTGGAATTGGAAAAAGGTCGGATGTGAAAATGCATCTGATAAACATATGTAAAAGCTTGTTTAACAACAGTGAATGCATTGAATGTGGAGTGGAGCAGGGCAGTGTCCTATATCCTCAACTCTTCATAACATACATTGTTAAGATCAAGATAGAGATGAGTTGTGATGATATGTACTATCCGTTCCCCTTGAACCTGTATCTTGTCTATGATTTTGTGAAAGTAGAATGGTGGAACTTTACTTATTGTATCAAGTGACCTAGGTTTGCCATCCTTATGAATTTGAAGGTTTGTTTATTGCATTCAATATAATCTTTTAAGTGACCATGTTCCACAAGTTTTCATAATCAAGTTATTTTTCAAACATTCTCAGCAACTGATGCCAAATATTGAGAAACTGGATCTCAGTCATAACAGGATTGAAAGTATCCAAAACCTTCATTGGCTGAGTCAGCTGACACACATTGACCTCAGCCACAACAACATCTACCATGCTGACTGGCTGCACACCAAGTTGGGCAATGTCCAGTGTGTGCGCCTGGCACATAATCATCTGGAGAGTCTCCATGGTGAGTTAGTTCAGACTGTCATCTAAAAAACTGGCAGGCTATGTTCAGTTGAGGCATTCTGTACACAGAGAGACAGAGCTGTGTGAGGTACAACCATCACGATTAGATTAGCAGCTGAAGAGTCTGTATAGTATATTAGAAGTTCAGATTGTCATTTCAAGAGTCAGCATAGTATATTAGAAGTTTGTCATCTGAAGAGTCATGCATAGTATGTTAGAAGTTCATATTTCATCTTAACAGTTTGCATAGTATATTAGAAGTTCATATTGTCATCTTAACAGTTTGCATAGTATATTAGAAGTTCATATTGTCATCTTAACAGTTTGCATAGTATATTAGAAGTTCATATTGTCATCTGAAGAGTGCATAGTATATTAGGAGTTTGTCATCTGAAGAGTCATGAATAGTATATTAGAAGTTCAGATTGTCATCTGAAGAGTCTGCATAGTATATTAGGAGTTTGTCGTCTGAAGAGTCATGAATAGTATATTAGAAGTTCAGATTGTCATCTTAACAGTTTGCATACTATATTAGAAGTTCATATTGTCATCTGAAGAGTCTGCATAGTATATTAGGAGTTTGTCATCTGAAGAGTCATGAATAGTATATTAGAAGTTCAGATTGTCATCTTAACAGTTTGCATACTATATTGGAAGTTAATATTGTCATCTGAAGAGTCTGCCTAGTATTTTAGAATTTCACATTGTCATCTGAAGAGTCTGCCTAGTATTTTAGAATTTCACATTGTCATCTGAAGAGTCTGCCTAGTATATTACAAGTTCAGATTGTCATCTGAAGAGTCTGCCAAGTATTTTAGAATTTCACATTGTCATCTGAAGACTTTGCATGCATAGTTTATTAGAAGTTCAGATTTTCATCTTAAGAGTTTGTATAGTTTATTAGAAGTTCAGATTTTCATCTTAAGAGTTTGTATAGTTTATTAGAAGTTCAGATTTTCATCTTAAGAGTTTGTATAGTTTATTAGAAGTTCAGATTTTCATCTTAAGAGTTTGTATAGTTTATTAGAAGTTCAGATTTTCATCTTAAGAGTTTGTATAGTTTATTAGAAGTTCAGATTTTCATCTTAAGAGTTTGTATAGTTTTTTAGAAGTTCAGATTTTCATCTTAAGAGTTTGTATAGTTTATTAGAAGTTCAGATTTTCATCTTAAGAGTTTGTATAGTTTATCATAAGTTCAGATTTTCATCTTAAGAGTTTGTATAGTTTTTTAGAAGTTCAGATTTTCATCTTAAGAGTTTGTATAGTATATTAGAAGGATTATTCCTGGACAATTAATAACAAGCCAAACAATATCTGGAGGCCTCAGAGATATGGTTTTACAGAAGAATCCTTAGAATTCCTTGGATAGCTAAGAAGAGCAACCCAGTTGCTTTGAAAAAGGCAAGCGGTCCAAGACAACTTATCGCAAACATCAGAAAGAGACAGCCATCTTTTTTGGTCCATATGAGAAAAGGAAAACTAAAGCATTTTGTGACCACTAGAGAGATCTGTGGAAAGAGTGACAGAGGAAGATAGCACAAGAAAATGATGATGAATAATAGTTCAGCTTGTCATCTGAAGAGTTTGCTTGATATGTTAAAAGTTTAGTTAAGATTGCCTTACTAAGAGCCTAGATAATATGTTAGATGTTCATATTGTCTTCCGGAGTTAACATGGTAAGTTAAAAGTTCAGTTCAGTTTATTACCTGGAAAATGTGCATGACAAATTAGAAGTTCAGTTCACATTATCATTTGGAGAGCCTCCTTGTCTGCGTCTGACGTTCAGTTTATCATCTGACGAATCTGCATGGTACATGATCAGTTGACTTCAATTTATGAACATTCCTCTTCTGACTCATAAGTATATCTCTACCTTAGCAAATATATAAACACACAGAGACTAAATGAGAAAAAAGTAAATGGTTCCTTTTTATATGATTTGAGCCATACTGGGTATATTGTGCAGACTCTGAAAGCATGCTGAGAAAGATGGAGACAGGGATACTTTGAGCAGAGTGGCAAGCTTTACTGGGAAGGTCATGGGTAGTGAGCATACTTCAAGTTGATAATTTTCCATAGTGCCCCATCAATTTCCAGAGAGATTCCCTATCTATGCTGTCAAATGCTTTTTCATAGTCTATAAATCCAATGTAAAGTGGTGAGTTCAGTTCAATGCTTTGCTCTATTATAATATGTAATCTGGCTCTCTGGTCAGTACAGGATCTGTTTGACCGAAAACCTGCCTGCTCATCTCTTAGCTTTTTATCAATAGCATCTTTTAATCTTTCCAAAATAATTCTACTTAATATTTTTCCAGGAACTGACAGCAACATAATGCCTCTATAGTTTTCACACTCCTGTAGATCGCCTTTTTTTGGACAGTTTCACAAGGCATCCTTCTCTCCAGTCTGCTGGTATTTCTTCGGTCTCCCAGACTTTACTGAATAATCTATGTAGCAATTCTGTTGATGTGTTTATGTTGGCCCTAATGGCTTCAGCTGGGATACCATCTGGGCCTGCCGCCTTTCCTTCCTTGAGAAGATTGATAGCTTTTCTAATTTCCTCTTTGGATGGTATGTCACAGTTGATATCCAGTTCCATTTCTAAAGGCTGGATATCTGGGGGAACCTCTGGGCCTGGTCTATTTAGAAGCATTTCAAAATATTCAACCCATCTGTCCATTTGATCTTTAGTGTTAGTAAGTACCTTTCCTTGACTATTTTTGATTGATCCAGTTGGCTGACTATATTTACCTACTAATTTTCTTGTGTTACTGTAAAGTTTTCTGAGGTTTCCTTTTGCTGCAGCTGCCTCCGCTTCTTGTGCTAGATCATTTAGATATTTCACTTTATCTGCCCTTATATGCCTCCTAACTTCATTATTGGCTTCTGTGTATTTCTCCTGAGCTCTAGTTTTAGCAGCTCTAGTTTTGCTATTGTTTAAGTCTTATTGCCTTTATAAGAATGGCCTTTTTACTTTTCCTATCTTCAGTCAGTTTAATAGTTTCTGGTGTTATCCATGCTTTATGTTTCCTTCTTGCCAAGAACTTCTAGGCAAGATTCATTCCAGATTCCTTTGATCTGATCCCAGCAGACTTCTGTGCTGACATTTTCAGCTAACTGCTGCAACACCTGGTACTTATTAGAGACTGTAACTGAGAACTGTTCCTTAACTTCTTTATCCCTGAGATAACTTACATTATATTGGTTTCTATGATTATAAGATGTTATATATCTTTTTAGTTTCAACTTGATTTTACTTACCACCAGGAAATGGTCAGTAAATACATCAGCACCTCTGAAAGCCCTAACATCGTAAAGGGATGATCTAAACTTTTTGTTAATACATAGGTGGTCAATTTGATTAGTTGTTTTATGGTCTGGTGATTCCCATGGGTATATTGTGCTAGCCTTATATTTTAAACAGAGCAGCTGAAACTTTGAGGGGTCATCTTATCAGCACATTGCTGGCCATGTTTGTTTTTAGTTGATGAGAGAGACCAGATGTGCTATCCTGGATTCCATTTGTACAGAATAGAACCGAGTGGAAGGATAAACTGCCAGCCCTGTGTTGTGATGTATAATGGTTAGGATGATGATGATGATGAGGATATTGTTGATGACTTGGAAGCTGTGGTGGCCCAGTGGCTTAATAGCCAGTCCAAAAGCCTTAGGTTTTAATCTGCTTATGATTATGACAGAATCCCTAATGGGGAGCTGTGGAAGAGAATTAAACAAATTCCAGTGAATAAAGAGGTGAAGAAAAGATGCTATTGGATAGGACACACATGGAGAAAAAAAAAAAAAAACATACCTAGAATGTATTGGTACTGTAACCTGTAGGGTCATAAATAAAGGGAGACCACAAATTTAGAAAGGAGTTTGAAGTTGAGGTGGAAAAAGATGGTGGGGGGGGGGGGGGGGAGCAGGTTAATGCCATAGGGCAGGTTGATCCAGTGTGAAGTGGTTGAGGCGAATATAGACACCGAATTACATTGAGTATAAAAAGGTAGGATCGTAGACTTGGTGGTGCAGAAAGACCTCCTCAGATCTGCAACATCATAGTTTTGTTTACATGTCCATCATGGGGGAGTCTCAGTGATCACATCCTTTGAAGCCTCAATCACAAGTTGTCTCTGAAGCTGGGAAATGTTTTATGAAACTTCAGGTTGGCTGACTTGGTTAAATGATTTATGCACTTAAAGAAGTCAACTGAAAGACAACATAAATTTAAAAGAAAAAAAAGGGTTCTGTTCAGATTTTTAAAAATCTCATCTCCTCTAGAACGAGATTTTGTAGGAAAATCCTGGGACCTATCCAACAGTCTAGGGGTGCTATGACTTGCCTTTGTTCGGCGTGTGCACAAGCACGTGCAACTGTTGAGTGCTGACAAATGTCTAGACTTGTTTGACCGGGTCGACGCACTGTCTTCTACATGAAAGTGCGTAGGTTTCTTTTCTCCCAAATAAAAATAAGCAACTCTCGTTTCAATGAACTGTTGCTGTTCAAGTATTGGGTTGGGGTTACATGCAGAAAGCAGGAATGCTGACAGGTAAAGGAAATTCATGGCGAAGGTGAGGTCATGAGGTAAGGACAGCGCTTCTACACAGTGTAGAGTGAGGGCGACGAAATAAAAAAGTAACAGCCAGTTGAAATCGTGAAGCAGTAAACGATAACAATGTTGAAAAGAACCAACACATGATACATCTATAATATAGGAGTTTCAGTGTTTTAGCATTAGTGTTAAATGAACAGCAACTAAGACTGACGCTAAACCAACCAACCTCACAGCTGTTCATTAACAGGCATGGGGAAGCTAAGCCTAGAGCACACACAAAAGTGCTTTAGACAAAAAATAGAAACAAAAAAGAAATTCAGTAAGTTATATGAAGGCATATACACTTGTATGTTATATTTTCAATATGTCTATTGTAGAGTGAAGTCTAGCAAGCTGATTATGGTTTCTCTTTTTACAGGCTTTGCTAAATTGTTCTCTCTGAAGACTTTGGACATTTCACACAACAAAATATTATTGGTTTGTATGAATTGTTCCATGACCTATGTACATGTGTGTTTATGTGTGATACAAGGTATGGCGTCCGCCTCAGGTGCCGGAGGTCCCGGGTTCAGGCCTTGGTGAAGGTTGGAATTTTTTCACATGAACTTCTAGTAATTTCCCCTGGTCTCTGGGTAGTAAGATCGGACACCTGTATGTACTGTTGCAGTTGGAAATCAAAAAGAAAAGCCTAACGGTGCTGCCTAGGCAAAATCTGGAGTTACAAATCTACGGAAACATATTTCACGATGCTCGCCGGTGATACGGAGTTCGTGCACTGCAGAGATTCATCTGACTCAGAAGTAGAATTTATGGGTTACTACTCTTGTGCCATGATGTTGATCCTTTGTAAAAATCATAAACACTGGACATTATTGTGTGCCATTTGGGAGTGGCTGAGTGGTTAGAATGCTGGCTGTTTTTTTAGACCTGGGTTCTAATCCTCATTAAGGTGGTGGAAGTGTTTTTATTTTGGGGCAAAAATAAAAATCCTCACCTGCACAGTTCATGGGGACTGTAAAAGCCTTGCAGCCCTAAATCCTCAGGCTCATTCTCCCTTCCCTCCTCCCTGTTGTATACCGCCCTCACAAGTTGTAAATAAGCCAGTGAAAACAGTTGATGACGTGTTGACCATAACATCCTTTAAGGATTGATTAATTAATAAATACAAATGTAAACTGGAAACCATTTCTTCATTATGCCACAGATCCTGGAAATTGAGTCTTTGAACCGTCTATTTTAATTTATCAGTGAATTTTTTTTAAATTCAGTTTTCTTACAGTCCAAATGTTATTAAATGTATAATAATGTTTTTGAACTCTCTCATTATTTTTAGATTGATGAAATAAATAAATAATTATTAATAAATACAAATGTTAATTGGAAACAATTTCTTCATTATGCCACAGATCCTGGAAATTGAGTCTTTGAACCGTCTATTTTAACTTGTCAGTTATTTTTGTGTGTTAAATTCAGTTTTCTTACAGTTCAAATGTTATTAAATGTATAATAATGTTTTTGAACTCTCTCATTAATTTTAGATTGATGAAATCAAGTATGTGACTCAGCTTCCTTGCATTGAAGAGTTGAACTTAGAAGGCAATCCTGTAACGTCTTCACTGGATTACCGCACCAAGACTTTGGAAATGTTTGGGGAGAGAGTTACTGAGGTTAGATTGTGTAAAAATTGTTTGGAAATGTATATTTTAGATTCAACTTTGCCCAGAAACATCTAATTATTACATAGATTGTTAACATCGTTAGAAAAGATACAGGCTTCAAATGCAAATATTGCCACACACAAAAATTATTCTTTCCAGATTTTGTCTTGATGTCTGTTAACAATGAAATACATAATTCCTGTGGTGGAAATGTTCCCAGTCCAGTCTTAACCTGGCCGCCCATATAAATAAGTCAGGTGCCATCTTTACCATGAATGAGGATTTCCATCACTGTCTCTTTCTTTGGTTGTTCATTCTTTCAGACTGCTGTCATCCACATTTTGATGTTATTCTTTAATTTATATTGCTATGAACCTCTTGCTTGCATGTCTTGAATGTTTCCCTTCATTATTGCCTTTGTAAGAATGGTACTTTGAATAAGGCAAAAAATATTTCACCTGTCTCTTTTACTAATTCTGTTTCTATTTCAATATCTTTTCATTCACAGCCTGTTCCTAAATGTTGTTGAGTCTGGTCTCATTTTATTTCTTGTTCTTTCCTAGTGAGTACTCTGTATGACTTGAAGATCATTGGATTGGAACCCTTGTGGTCAAAGAAATAAAGAAAGACCAAAAAACAACGGAGAAGAGAATTGAGGTGAATAAATAATTGGGCATGATATAGGGTGGGCTACATGTTGCAGAGGAAAAAAGGACAATTTGGCAATAGCTGGTTGAAGACTACTGCTCTGTATGGGGATTTGTGCGGATTAAGAGGAAGTATAAGTTTTTATATCTGTAAATTTTTCAGGTGGTGCTGGACAATAAGTGCCCAGATCAGAAAGAACTGGACACGGTGGCCGTACTACAGGCTTTGAAGAAAGCTAAGGATGCAAAAATCATGACGAAAGCATATCCAAAAAAGGTTTGACTCTAATGTGTGCTCTTTTTTAAATTTTTTAAAAATTTAATTTATAGCATTGAAAAAAATCCTTACCCACATAGAACTGCCGGTTAGATAAGACTGGTTTTGAGGTGATAGGTGCTTTAATTATAACTTCTCTGGAGGTTGAACAAGGTACCCTGGATTTGCCCTGTTGGTGTGCCATCCAAATTGAGATTTTGTAATCTCATACAGCAGCCGGGAGGGAAAGAAGGGAAGGAAGATCTGTGCTTTTAGAGAAAATAAAGATCTAATATTTTCCTTGTATACGACGTTGTTTTCCCCAATTTGTTTATTTTTTTAAATTTAAAATTGGGGGTCATCATTCATGAAATGTTATTGAAATATTTTTTTTTTTAAATTTTGGCCTCAGAAATTGTCAGTGTCTTATACAGAGAAAATACATGTTTTATTCTAGGTCACGTCCTACAATGTGGAGTGCTTAGAACAGGTGTTGGCCACTCAACCTCAGAAGTCATGTTTTCTTCCTTGTCACGTTTTCTTTACAGAAAATCCCCAAAAGTTATTGAAAACCCATTTATATGAGGCTGGAGCAACCCCAGTGCTATATTGGTGTTGAAAAACAAAAATCCTTCCTCTGGGGATTAAATCCGGACTACTGTTTTCACGAGCAAACACACATACCACTATGCCACCATGCCTCATTAACATGAAGTTGCTTTAGGTGAACACTTAGTTAATATGAACATTGTTTTGTCAGGATCAGAAGTTCTGATATAACATTTTGATATCAGGAAAGAACCAATACTAAACTACACCAGCAGACAACAGATCAGATAGTTTGACATATGTCAAGACTACCACCAGATAGGACTTCACCACAGAGAGTCCTGTCACTTCAGATGTAATGGAAGCAGACTAGAGGTTGACCACGCAGACGATTGATAGATGCAGTATCCAAGGCCATAAAAAACCAGCATCTGTGCAGAATATATCAGGGCTTGCACATCATACCTCTTTAAAACCTGTTGCTGAAAGTTAGAACAGGACTAGAGAAGTAGTCTTTGGTTAGCGCTTGCTGTTTTCAACACAAACTCAATTTTTCAGTCCTTTGAAATTCATTTTAACAAATGACAGCTATTGTGCAGGTGTACAGGGTTCGTAGTGGACCGGGAAACTTGAATTTACCATGAATTTTTTCTACAACAAGGAACAGTGAATTTGACCGTGAAAAAGTCATTCTGACCTTGAGAAACCGTGAATTGTGACTGCCATAATGAGATCGTCAAAAGTCCTGTGATTTTCAGCACTTAGGCTATTTTTGGGGGCCATCTGGCTTTTTTGGCCATTTGGCTAGTTTTGGCTACTTTCGTTTAAGGTCGTTTCAGGTAATAGGGCACCTAGTTATCGGCTATTTTCAGCCGAAATGGCTTGTTAAAGGCCAGGGGAAGGGCAGGCTGTGTTGCAGCCTATGAATACATGCAGACAGCGTGGCGTGGCATGGGGCGGGAAGGAGCAGCTGCCTCGCGTGTGCGTGTGCCTTTGTTTCTAGTGAGTCCGGCAGAATTAATAGTATAAATCGTTTTATGGCCGTGGTTTCTAGAAAGGATTACATTGGGAGATGGTGGGGGCTCGGTTGGGTTGTATTTATAAATAGTCGGTCGTGGTGGGTACTAAGCACAGCCTTCTCTATTAATTAGAGGCGGCATTGGGGCTAAGCAAAGTGACTTCAGCTGGATTTCCCAGTTCTATTTTTGGCCTGGTTTTATCTTTACAGTGTGTTTGGCGATCAGTATTGTAATTCCCCGAGATTTCCTCTTCTGTTGTTTCACCCCCTCTCTCTCTTCCCTCCCTCTTTCACTCTTCTACCTATTGCTCCTTCCTTCCTGTCTCCTGCATTGTCTCTAACCCTCCCTTCTGATCTTCATCTTCTTCTCTTTCTCTCTATCTTTCTTTTTACTCTCTCATTTTCTGTCTTCCCTCCCCCCCCCCCCCCCCCCCCCCCCCCCCCCCCCCCCCCCCCCCCCCCCCCCCCCCCCCCCCCCCCCCCCCCCCCCCCCCCCCCCCGAAAAAAAAACAAGTCCACTGATGCCCTGACCTATTTGTGTGTGTGTGGGTAACCTGCTCTATTTTCCACCGGTGATGGGTTGGGATCTACTGGACTTTTTTTCTTCATAAAAAGACCTTGGCTCTCAGGTCACCAGCCATAAGTGTAAGAAATTGAACTATTGTTGTCACACGCAGATAGGACAAGCACGGGGCAGTAGGGGTTAGCACTGTTGTTTATGGACCACGGCCATATTCACATTGGGAGAGGGTAGGAACCGGAGAAATGGCCTCACTTAGAGATTTCCTAATTCTATTTTTGGCGCTCAGTGTTCTTATCGCCACCCCCCCCCCCCCACACACACACACACACACACAACCGTGTCTTACCTCTCTTCTCTCACCCACCCCCTTTCCTTTGATCTTCCACTATTCTCCTTTCTCTCTCCATTCTTCCTCTCTTCCTTTCCTTGCTCTGTTCTCTCTTGCTCTTTCTCCTGTCTCATCTCTTCTTTGTCTTCTCTCCATCCTGTCTTTTCATTTTCTCTAGATTTTCTTACCCTCTCCCCTCTCTCATTCTATTCCCCCCCCCCCCCCTTTTTTTCCCTGGTTCATCTGCATATGTTTTTTGCCCCATAACTATCTTTTCCTAGTGGTTGTGTCCACTACACTTAAAATTATGTGTATGGGGGTGGGGGAGGGGGAGTGGGTGGGGTTTCAGCTCGAGGCTGGTTTTTTATTCTTTGATGTATCTTGTCTCCCTTCCTGCTCCTCTCTCTTAATCTGTGTTTGTCACTGCCTTCCTTACCCACCCCTCTCTCTTTCTCTCTTGCTTTATGTCTGTTTGCCTCCCTTCATCACTTCCTCTTTGTATACCTCCCTCCCATTCTCCTGCTCTGCCTTTTTTCTCTTTCTTTGGTTCTCTCCCTCTGTCTGCTTGCCTCTCTATGCTGTTCGTTTGTCTCTCTCTCCTTTATGTCTACAATTCTCTCTGCTTGCATCTGCTTCTCTCCCTGTCCGTTCTCTCTCCTTCTGTCTCCCTTCCTTCAACTATCTTTGTCATATTTTCCTCCTTCCATATCTCTGTTTCGTTCCCTTCTTCCTTCTCTCTTCATCTGCCCATCTCTGTATCTGCATTCTCTCTTTCTGTATTTGTCTCCCTCTCTGTCTTTGGCTCTCCCCCTAACCCCTTCAGGTACCAAGTCCAGAACAGACAGGACTTCAGTTTGCTGCCCTCTACCACCAAGTCCTAAAAAAATTTTCAAACACTATATCAAGCGCAGGGGCCGACCAACACGAAGATGGGCACAGGATATAAGTGACTCCTTGAGTATAAAAAAGTACATGAGACAGGAGAGCTGGTGAGAGACCGATTTTTATTTCAGGACAAGGGAAATGCTACATGATGATGATGATATATGTGCTGGTATACCAACACATGTGGCACGAATGAAGTACATTGTGTGCTCGGTACACCCTTGAACAAGGCAAAAATCTTGTTTCAGTATTACACCGAGACACACCTTGAAAAAAACTAAGGAGACCTTAAAAAGCCTTGAAATTGATTGGTAAATTTGGCTATGAACCCTGGGTGTAGGTGTTGCGACTGCATTTCATAATTCCGAGATGCTGGGTTTAATCCTAGCTATGCTCAGTTTGGTAGCTGTCCGCCTGGCTTTGGTTTGTACAGTGGTATCAACACAGAAACTCTGTGATAAAGTGGCGAAATGTTAAAAGTAAAATTGCCTAATAGAATCACAAACAAACAAAAATGGGTTGATTCAGCAGAGTGCTGTAAAGGATAAACGACTAACTCAATGATTGAAATGTGTGTAATAGGATAGTTCTGAGTCAGATAAAGAATGCTTGGCTCAGAATATATTCCTAATTCTTTTCATATTACAGTGTTTATTATTTCTATCAAAACCGTTTTGTATAAATCAGGGGAACATTTTTAACAGTTGTATGCCTAAATTCTCATTTGTATGCTAGAAAATAATTTTCATTTTTTTTTTTTACTTACTTATGGATTAGGTTCTCTTGACACAGAATTTATTCTTTATTCTCTTTAATGTCAGTATTGACAAGTCTTCTTTAGATATTAATTTTAAATTATTTCTATCAAATCTGTTTTGTTTAAATCAGGAGTTTTAATTTTATTCTTTGAAATATTTCTCATGTATTTTTTGGTTATAGTGTGTTGCTGTCTTGTTTATCTCGCACATAAACAGCATTGTAAAATGTAAACAGTAAAGTCAAGTCACATAAACAGCATTGTATAAATGTAAACAGTAAAGTCAAGTCACATAAACAGCATTGTATAAATGTAAACAGTAAAGTTACATAAACAGCATTGTATAAATGTAAACAGTAAAGTCAAGTCACATAAACAGCTTTGTATAAATGTAAACAGTAAAGTCAAGCTAATAAACAGCTTTGTATAAATTTAAACACTCAAGTCAAGTGCCCCCTTTTTCACACCTCCAGATGTATTAGACATACAGTGCTAGACCAATAGTTTATAGACCGATCAGCACTGGGCAGGTGATGTGGTCAGTATAACCTAGCCACCTTTACCTCCCATGTTTTTGACGGGTACCCATTTAAAGCTCTGTCCACCTGGGAGCTCCAGTTATTTTTGAGTCATCCTCTGTTCAGATTTGAACCCATGACCATAGACTCATAATTTAGCATGGTAAATTTTTTTTTTCAGAACACATCCAGCCTGAGTCTGTCAGATATGTACTGTGAATCTTTATCCAGCTCCACATCCGATCATCCAGATGACAAGGGTAGTCCCGCATCTTTCGTGCCAAGTGGTAAATATAAGTAACTGAATTTCTTATTATTTCTATATATATACACACACACACATGAATACACACTCATTGTGCCAGTATCAAAGTATAATGGGTAGGCACGATGAATATGAATATAACCACTCTGGAACATTTTTGTGACTATTATTAGGGGTTAAGAGTAAAAATTTTATTGTTTTTTTTAAATTGACTTTTGAAAATGTGACATCATCATTGCATTATAATAATCTAAATGACATCACTTTGCTTTCTGTGGCCAAGTTTGTATTTAGTGATTAATTCCCTTAGTAAAAAAAAAATATGTGTTGACCAGAGAGGTCACAAAAAAAAAATTTAGGATGATTTTTTGTGTGTGATTTGATGGTCGCAGTGCAGCTGTGGATTTCACGCTTGCCTGTTTGCTAGGTGATATAGGAGTTCGACCCACAGAATGTTTATAAAAACTGCCCAAAACTTCAGATTCTTTTTGTCTTTTTTCCCCCTCTAGTTTTTTAAGTTAGAGGTGTGTTTTTAAATGAAATTTTAAGAAGAGTAATTTTTTTTTTAAACGGGGTGTAAGTGGTAACAATGATGAATATGCTAATTCCCCTGGGTTCATACCACCCTGAGAACTGGCCTGTTAACATCTTGGATATGTCTCCTGCTTCTTTCCTTCTTTCTATTTAATGAAGTGTTTCTCAGACTACTGTCATCTATTTTTATATGTTTCTTTAAATAATGATATAATGATCCATTCTTGCCTCTGGTGCAACAGTACGTTCTGTCCTGCCATAATGCCAGTCCTGCTGACATGCCTGAACCTGCTCCCAACAACAGATCATGTTTCCCAGTTGTGGTACTTCCTAACAGAATCCTGTCTTTACACATATTGTCAGAACATCAGAGCAGATCGTTGTTTTTATCTCACCCCTTCCATGTGGCTAGCCGGTTGTGTATTCTGTCTTTCCCTTGCTCTTTTCTTATGAGTTTTGCTTATTCTCAAGGCTCTTTCTTCTTACAGCATGTTGGAAAAATACTGTCTGTATCTGATTTCTTTAATCACCTTAAAGTTTTCATATGTCTCGAGGACTTCACATTTGTTCTTTAATGCTGGCTTATTTTCATTTCTGATGCTGAATTGTGGCAGCTGTTAATCTTTATGTTTTGCATGTACGCAACACTTATATGTTTAAAATCCGCAAAGCTGAACCTGAAATTATAAACACTGCTATAGTAAAAAAAAAAAAAAAAAGCTAAATCCGTTGGTGTTTTTCTGCTACCTAACTTAACTGTTGCAGTAATGGTCTGTTCTGTGGGGAAAGTTGATAAACGAACCTAAAATAAAATAAGATAACTGAATAAATTGTCAAACTTTCTGAAATCTTGTTAGAAAAGACATTATATTAGTCTTTAAAAAAGTGTAGCAAGATTTTTTGGTAGTTTCACAGAAAACAGATTTATTATCTCAACATATTGCAAGAACACTTATGTTCAGTGAGACTCAGAAACATGTTAGTAGTAGCAAGTTAGCTTCATTTGGAAATTTTTCTCTAGAGCAAACAGGTGTATTGGAAATGTTCTCTAGAGCATACAGTTGTATTGGAAATGTTCTCTAGAGCATACAGGTGTATTGGACATTTTTCTCTATAGCATACTGGTGTATTGGAAATGTTCTCTAGAGCATACATGTGTATTAGAAATGTTCTCTAGAGCATACGGGTGTATTGGAAATGTTCTCTAGAGCATACAGGTGTATTGGAAATGTTCTCTAGAGCATACAGGTGTATTGGAAATGTTCTCTAGAGCATACATGTGTATTAGAAATGTTCTCTAGAGCATACAGGTGTATTGGAAATGTTCTCTAGAGCATACAGGTGTATTGGAAATGTTCTCTAGAGCATACAGGTGTATTGGACATTTTTCTCTAGAGCATACAGGTGTATTGGAAATGTTCTCTAGAGCATACATGTGTATTAGAAATGTTCTCTAGAGCATACAGGTGTATTGGAAATGTTCTCTAGAGCATACAGGTGTGTTGGAAATGTTCTCTAGAGCATACAGGCGTATTGGTAATGTTCTCTAGAGCATACCGGTGTATTGGTAATGTTCTCTAGAGCATACAGGTGTATTGGAAATAAAACTGCATACTGAATCTGTTGGTGCTGCATGACATGCTAGATGTGGCCAAGGCCCCTTGGGAGCAAGTAAATAATGTGGAAGAGATCCGACCAACACTTTACACTAGGAGGATGGCAGGATGGACATATAATCCATCTCTTCACAAGCTGCTGAAGATGAGCATGGAGAGCATATGCAGATGTCACGAGTGCTGTTAGTTCAGTTCTTAACTTACATCTACATATTAAATGTTGACAAGAACAGAAAAAGCTTGGCATTTGTTGATACATTTAATATTTTATAGATTTTTTATTTTATACATTTTATATTTTATACATTTTATATTTTATACATTTTATATTTTATACATTTTATATTTTATACATTTTATATTTAATACTCAGATTATGTGAGCAAACCCCCGGCTACAAGATCAGTTGACCGGCAAACACCAGATGCTACCATCATCAAGCAGAGCCCACAGTCCACTAGTCAGGTTTGACTGAATATTGAATATGTTGAAATTTCTGCATTATAACAGTCATCCAAATCTGTATCTCAAACTATTTCAGTATCTGACACCTACCTATTCTTTTCCTGACACACATTTCTCAGTTCTTCTTTATTTTATCTTTGCTGTTACTTTAACATCTTCTTTTGTATCAACTTTATATTAGTTTCTCTGAGACTCAAAATTGGTTACCTAAAAGTCCCAGAATTTTGGGATAATATATCGCATTGCCACATTGGACTTCAGGTTACTTCGCAGCTGTGGGTGTCCTAATGTGTGATATGGTTTAATGGAACTTTGGGAATTTCTCCTGTTTGATTCTCATCCTTGGGTAGTTAATTGTGTGTACAGCAGTCCTATAGGGTAACAGTTACCTACTTTGGAATAACGAGTGTTGCAGTGGTATGTGTCTGGGGCACAAAAAAAGTTAAAGGCAGTTCCATTGCTGATACCTTTCTGGCTGGTGAAGTGTTAGGCCTTTGAAAATTCTAGGCGATGATATAATGTCATTGGATGACCATTTCTCTTACTCATCACCTTTTCTTTTCGAGGGAATTCCCAGTTTTGAAGATTGCCTGGCACCCATTTCTGTAAGGCTGGTTTATAGTAAGCTACTATCTTGTAACAAAGAGTCACATGTTGTGTGTCAGATGTGATGTTTTGCTTTATATAAATTCAAAATATGGGTTCCAGGGCCCCATTTTTAGGGAGGGAAAGAATTGACCCACTGTCTCCCTAAAAAAAGCGTGACGTAAAAGGTGACTGATTAGCAATTAGGGATTTTCCCTCCGCATATATCTGAAAGGCGAGGAACTAGCAGTGTGTGTAAAAGGAAGCCATATCTGTATAACGAATGTGCACGCAGAATTGAAGTTCTGTAACAAGACTAAAGTCCAAAAGTGGATGAACAACCAGAACTTTCCATCAGAAAGAAGAGTTTTGTCTAGTTATAACGATCAGTTTGTACATCTGGTCATCGTCATCATGTAGTAGGTCCTTTGCAGAATGCTTGGGCATCACCTTGACTTCCAGATACACATAAGAGATTTTTGCTTCTTCTCTCCTTTATGCCCTATTAAAGCCTTTTTTAAATCCATTTCTCTCCTCCATATATTTTAAGGTCTTCCTCTAGCTCTTTTACTCTGTGAATTCCTGGAAAGCACAATCTAGTTAAGCTATTAATGAAAGAGTTCCTATGACAAATAATCTGTGTGGCTTTTCACATGTTAAAAAATGTCAGAGAACCCCCTTTGGCAATATATATAGATTCATTAATATTTTGACATAAAGGTAGATGTCCAACAACATTTACTGTCTCCCTCTTGTTGGTTTTCAGTGTAGTGTGAGCATATAATGAGATCTGTAGAGTATATGACAAACTGGTGGCCATTTTAGTAATACCGATAGCATGTCTCGATCATAGTTGCCACTTCTCTTAGAAATAGAACATCTAAAACCAAAACAAACAATATTGAGAAATATCTAGATTGTACAATTGAAACATCCAAAAAAACATAAGATGATAAAAGTAAGAAATTACATAGATATTTATACGACTTACCAAATTTATTGTGTTTGTATTGGAAAACTCATGGAAAAAATCGGCCAGAATGTTGACCCAAACATGGAGTCAAGTGGTCTGTTCCCCGCTACACTAGGTGGTTACTGACCGGGAAGAGATACATGGTGCAATGCTGCAGTATTTGCCTAAGACACTGGAGTTTCCAGGAGGGAATGGAAACAGCTGCAGCTGCTATTGACTTAGAAGATGCGTACAACATCGTCCCATACAACATGCTCATCAGACTGCTGTTGGATATGCAGATAGAAACGGAATGGGTCAACTAGAAAGCAGCAGCACTGTTCAAAAGAACAGTGTCGCTTCGATGTGGTGAATGGGCAGCCAAACCTCAACGCGTCCTAATGGGTCTGCCCCATGGATCACCATTGTCGCCTGTGCTCTTTAATGTGTACACAGCACAGCAGGAGTCACGAGTGCACAAAGCGTAGGCCTAGGCAGAACAATGTCGTATGCAGATGATATCCTTGTTTACCATCGAGGTAAAAACAGGCAGGAAATTACAACCACACAACAACACGAACTAGACCAGGAATCAAGAGCTCAGGTGAACCTCCTTAACGTGGTTCTCTCTGAATACCCGCATTGTCAGTACACCAGAGCCAGTCGAAAGCATATGGTGTGTGGACACCAAGAGATCGGACACTATGAAATACCTAGGCATGAGATTTGACAGATGCTTGTCATACAAATGCCACATACACAACGTCATACTTAGAGCCAGGAAAGGTCTGACAGCACTCAAGGTGCTAGCAGCAGCTGATATTGAACTCCTAATTTTTCTTCTCTGTCGAGGGCTTGTGCTTAGCGTCATTGACTATGGTCTTGTCCTCCTCACTGTCAGCAAAACCCAGCTAGAAAGACTGGACCGAGTACAAAATGAGGCCATGAGACTCATACTCGGCTGCACAAAAGACTCCTTCTGCAATGCCATGCATTATGTCCTGGGTTTTCTGACGATGACTAGCAGAAAGAAAGACGCACAAGTCAAGGCTTACATCAGGGTATCGGCAGATGTTAACCACCCACTGCACAAAGCTATACAGAACACAAAAAGAACACGTCTCAAAAGAGGCTGCCCTTAGATGGCAAAGGCTGAGGATTTAATCCAGCAGGTATGTGACCTAGACATGATCAGTCACTGAAAAGAATGGACGAATACACCAGTAGACATGCATGGCATCTCTAAGGTTTTCATCACACTTGGAAGGTACTGCAGGGATCAAATTCCTGCGTCCGTAGACACAGTAGTAAGGGAACTGATAGATCAGCATTCAGACCCAGAAGATATCATCGTCTACACATATGGATCCGTAAAGCGCGGATCAAGGTCAGAATGGGCATACACAGCGCAAAGAAGGGGAAAAAATACAAGAGGACAGCAGCGCTTACCAGACAACCACATCAAGCATGACCATGGAAATAGCCGCTTCTAGAGCATTAGTATAGGTATCCGAGCAAACCGCCACACAGACAGTAATTGTATCAGACTCAATGAATATGCTTCAGAAGATAGCAACAGGCGGTAAGCATGGTGAGATGGGTAGAAAGCATTTGAAAATCGCACTAAACCTCCCTCACCTGGATCTACACACCAGGTCATGTGGGGGTAGAGGAAAGAGCAAGCGGACCAACTGGCAAGCACTGCACTAAGGATTATGGCAAAGAGCATGGACAGAGCAGATATCATCAACACTGTACGGACTGGGCAAGTGAATAATGAGGAATCCCTGACACTAACACGATTGCGTGACATGGGAGTTAAGCATGGTGAAGCATGTCTATGCCGTCTTTGAGGACGAAATAGGAGACAGTATAACCTGCTTCTCATGGGAACAATTAGTAGAAGTTCTTTGGAGTGGCTACTGTATTGGAGAACTGTGCACACATGGGAATGCCTAATGTGCAATGACGTCGATTGTGATAACATAACATAGTCTCACTACACTTTACATGAAGAATGTAAGTCAACAATTAAGCAGTATGCAGAGAATGGGTGTCATCTGCTGGAGTAATTGTTTGCATTCAAAACAGAATGCAACTTTCCAGCTTCCACAGAGCAGGATTAAACTATAGCAGTGGCTACTGTAACTAATTTGATGTCTTTCTAAGCAAATCTTTTCAAATGATGTATATTATTTACCTTATTCATTTTTTTATCTGCATAAAAAGTGTAGTGGGATTTTACAAATACCCTGTAGAATAATTTCCTCGTCTTCACGGATATCTATCTCACAAGATCCTGAGATTCAAAATGATTGGTAGGTTTTAGCTGTTCCATTTTCTTTTAATACATGGTCAGGGAGCTGATAAGTTGAACACCATTTTCCTGTTCTCACCAGACCACATTGTTGGGCGTTTAGCTCAGTGAGTTTCAATAATGACAGTTACCATATTGTACTCGCATCCAAATTAAAACAATGTGTTTTAAATATTTTACACAGTTATTATTAAATTGACACTGAATGAAAAAAGCAGAATCTATAAAATATCTTTATCTAACTCCTGATGAAAAACTTCTAGAAAACATTAATATCTAAATGTCAAAAACAATATCTAGATGCAATCAAGAACATCTAGATGTAAAACATCCAGAATCTCAACCCTAGTCGTGATAGTGGCAGGTCAGAAGGAACTACAGAAAATGATAAATACATTGGTTAAAGAAAGTGAACTGACACCATAGCACTCAGAAAATATTCCCATAAGACCTCATTCCTCATCTTTAGCAGCCAGTGTAAATTTTGGATGCCAATAATATCAAGTTAAGCCTGTCTGATAGTGTTGCAGGCAACTTTAGCATGACTGATATGATGAGTGTGACTGTTGTAGAAAGTTGATTTCTAACTAGGAGCCATCTTTTGTGCAGGGCTGCTCATTGTCAATCAATTTTACTGAAGCAAGGGCAGATAATTCTCACCCCAGCAGTGCTGCCACATCAGGAAGCCTGGCTTCATTTACAGCAAAAGCAGCCGGCCAGACTTCAGGCAGCAACAACAATAACAACTGCTGCATTATTGATGCTGATGGCGCCACTAATCTGATTAGTGCAGGTCTCAGAGACAGTACCCCAGAAGCACACCTGATTGACCAGTTTGTTGGAAGTTCATCTTCTTTAGCAGTTTCACATCAAGCAGCTTGGTCAGTCAAGTCGGATAACCCACGGCAAGTACTGTTGTTGTTGTTGGTCGCAGTATGAAGGTTTGGGTCGCAGTATGATGGTTTGGGTCGCAGTATGAAGGTTTGGGTCGCAGTATGAAGGTTTAGGTCGCAGTATGAAGGTTTGGGTCGCAGTATGAAGGTTTGGGTCGCAGTATGATGGTTTGGGTCGCAGTATGAAGGTATGAAGCAGTATGGGTTTGCAGTATGAAGGTTTGGGTCGCAGTATGATGGTTTGGGTCGCAGTATGAAGGTTTGGGTCGCAGTATGATGGTTTGGGTCGCAGTATGATGGTTTGGGTCGCAGTATGAAGGTCTGGGTCGCAGTATGAAGGTTTGGGTCGCAGTATGAAGGTTTGGGTCACAGTATAAAGGTCTGGGTCGCAGTATGAAGGTTTGGTCAGATGAAACAGTCCAGCTGACTTGATTATAAACATACGAAAGGTTTATTAACAGATGTAGTAGAATTAAAACAAAGCAACAATTAGAAAGAAAGCATGCTGGGGGTCATCAAAAGAGATCACCAAAGCCATTCAGGCACGTATCCCGCCACCTTTGGAGATGGCCAGTACTGACTGCAGAGGAGTTGCTCATGGAACCATTTGGTCACTGTTTTCATGACCCATTGTATAATTGCTTCTTGAGAACTTTTGTGAGGGTTTAAAAAAGAGAAACGTTTTATATGACACCAGACTGTAGGCTGGGAGTTTCTTACCCCTTGCTGTGCCCCTTGCACAATGTTCATATACATATATGTATAGGGTTAATATTTTATTACAGATAATGGGGAAGAAATTTCTAGAGAATTTGTCAAATAATTATATAGTGTGTTTTAACATCACTTCTTAAAAACTAGGAGGTGGCTAATTGATGAGCCACAGCCTAGGAAAGTATTTGGCTACACCAACAGTGATGATGATGATATTGATCATAATTAGGCTTTTTGTATTATGATTATTATTACTGTTACTATTACTATTAACATAATAATTGTTCTCTTCTTTTTTGTTCTTCTGTGTTTGCCCTATAGAGTGTGGTTGGCTTGTTATGTTGTTGTATACAACTAGGTTGTGATATCTGGAGCCTTTGGCCAAGTACATCCAATTTGAGCAAACCTTAATAAGAATGATTTGCTTCATACAACCTGCTTCTCAAGGGGCAGTTGGTCTTTCATTTTTCTTCTCCCCCCAAAAAGGGGCTGGAACCCATACATCATCATCATCATGTAGCAGGTCCTTTGCATAACGTCGCTCTCATCGCATTCTGCCTGAAAGAAACTCGCTCTCTCGTCAGTTCTCCCACCACATGAACTTTCACACTCAAGGAGTCACTTATATCCTGTGCCCATCTTCGTGTCGGTCGGCCCCTGCCTCTCCTTCCTGGTACCATGCCTTCTGCTATAATTTTTTCCAATCAGTCGTGGCGCTTGATATGACCAAAATATTTCAGCTTCCGAGACAGGATGCTGTTTATTAGCCAATCTTCCTTGATGTTCAGATCTTTTAAGATGTCAATATTTCTCATCTTCTTTGTCCAAGATATTCTGAGAATCTTTCTATAGCATTTCAGGTCAAAAGCCCCTATTCTCTTTCTTAAGGACTGAGAGATAGTCCGCGGCTCACGTCCGTACGAAGCCACAGGAAAGATGCATGCTCTCAAAATTCAAATTTGTATCTCTTTGCTGGTGCTTAACCATAGACTTTTAAGGCTATTCAATCTTTGCATTGCTATGGCCATCCTCCTTTTAATTTCTGTCGAACAGTCTCCATAAAACAGAGACAATGCATCGAAGAAACTATTTGCATTTCAGTTGAATTTATTTAGTTTTGTGCTTTATTTTATGTTGATGTAAGTCTGTAGTAACGCACCTGATGAGATACAGCGAGATTATGTTTATGTTTGGCAATAAACTGTAAAAGGTATCATCATCATCAGGTGCCTTGCCGACTGGCGTGGGCGATCATGCCTCTCCACAATCTGCGATCTCCTGCAGCATGTATCAGTTCGTGTGCCGACACACCTCCATGCCATGCAACAAGACTGTCAAGCATCTTCTCTCGTTGTCTTCCTCTATCTATCCTTCCACATATCTTTCCGGTGGTCACAACATGTTCTATTTTCCCTCTTCTCATAACATGGCCGAAAAATGATGACTGTCTCCTTCTGATGTCTGTGATAAGTTGTCTTCAGGCTCCCGCCTCTTTCAAAACCTCTTGGTTGCTCTTTTTGGCTGTCCAAGGTATTGTAAGCATTCTTCTGTAAAACCACATCTCCGAGGCCTCCAGAAATTGTTTGGCCTGCCTACCGATTGTAAAAGGTATAATGATAACATAATTTTGTTGACACGTATTCCTTTATTTGTTAACCAGGAAGATGACATTCAGCGTGACTGACCTGCCTACAGTCACGGACACTTCATTCCTCGTGTGGCTGAACAAACATCTGTTTTCACATAGGGAGGAGATTCAATATGGCAGCTCAGAAAGAAGTCAGCAGGAGAAGGAAGCAATCATAGACATTGTTTGGTGTTATGCTGAGCAGTTGTCAAAACCTGGCATATTATTTCCTTGCTGTGCTGTGTTAACCAAGAAAAGATTGTTCATAGAAAAACTCACTGGTCTTAATGCCAGTTTCCCTAATGTTCCTGAACTGAGGCCATGTTGTATGATGTCTTTACAAAATATTCAGCAACTTGTGTTAGGGCCGTGCCATGCGTTTTTGCGACTTGAAGAAGCATTTGTTGGAAAAAGTGGTGTTTTCACTCTGTTCTGTTTTGAAATACAAGGGTTGAAGATGTTCTTCAATAAACTGTTCAAGTCTTGTTGTAATCTGGATGTCATTAATAGCTACAGCTTCATCGATCTCACTGTGAGGTCAGATCTTCTGAGAATTATTGCTTTGAAGGAGGAGCAGAGTTCTGGTGTCTCCTCAGACAGATTAGTGTCTGCTGCTCTGGTCCAGCTGAAGGATTCATCTGTCTTCAACTTGTTGGTGTTATCAGAAAATAAAGTTTACTGTTTAGACCTGGATTGTGTCCACTGGCCTCCAGCTTCATATGAAACATCCCCTGAAGCTGCTATCAGATTTAATGTACTGCATGAATTTTCTATAAAGGATAAAATCAGGAACATTAGCATCAGTCCAGGTGAAGGTCTTATCCACCCCAACAGAGATAGAATACCAAATGCTGCTACAGATGTGCAGTTTGAACACTATGAACTCAGTTTAGATGTCGCATTTTCTTTGGACAAATCAGCAGGTTTCTCTGTTTCAAGTTCCAGTCAATATGAAGGTGTGCTCGAAGATTGTAAGCAACACAGTGGCATTATCAGGTATCATTTTCCATCGCCTCCCTGTAGAGATCTTTTTCTAGAAAGGCTGAACAATATGAGAGCTGAGCTGGCCCATAGGATGTCGCCTAACTTAAGAGAAGAACCTGAAGGAGGCAACGAACAGCTGTCTCCCTGTGATAGGAATGTGTTTGTGCCTGACTCTTCACCTTCATTGAAATCTAGAATTATTTCAGTTAGAGATGGTTCAGTGTCGCCACTTCTGAAAACTGCTTACAAAGGTACTGCTGTAGAAGCATCAGTGAAAAATATGGGGAATTTATGGGAAGCAAAACAAGACCCCTGTGCTCCCCACAGTGGGTCCAGAAGTGATGGGAAATTGATTTCAAAGGAATCAGGGGCATCTCCTGGTGGTGAAAGCTGGCTGTCAAAAGACGATAGCCACCAGGCTAGGATATGTCAGCCTCATTCTGAAAGCAGCAGCTCAGCCTGCTGCGACAGTTCTCCAAGGGAAGACCTTTCTGTTTCACCAATGTCAAACTTCTCTAGAGCCAGCATCAGCCCAGTTATTGGACAAACACAAGAAGTCAGCAAGCCAGTATGTTATCCTGATGCAAACAGATTTGCCCAGCATTTCACAACTGCAGAAACCCATTCACTTCCAACCAGTTTTGACTGGAAGCAGTATTACTTCCAAAACCGCCCATATTTTGAATCGGATACAAAATTAGAATTAAAGGATGACCTCGGAGAAACATCCAGTAACAACACTAGCACACAGTTGCAAGTTCACAGCCATACTTCCAGCAGCTTTCTGGAGGTCATTGAATCCAGCTGCGAGTTTGACCCCGGACATAATGTGGAAACAGAGCATGAACTGTACTTGAAGAGTTGTCTCAAGTCCTACGATCTTATTTATCCTTTATCCAGTAAATTGAAACCTTTATGCTTGATGAATGGTAAAGAGTTAAACAAGTTCTTCCATGCCTCAGTTGTGCCAAAGGTCTCTGCCAATAATCTGAGCCTCCCATCTGAAGAACTTCAGTTTGTGTTGTGGAGTGTGGTAGTGCCATATACAAATCCAAAACAGGAAATAACCACGCTGGTCATGTTGAGCACACTTGGGATATATCTGATTTCAGACACCAGCCCACAGGTGGCACATCAGTCTCGACCTTCATGGATGACCCATTCTCGTAACAGCTCTGATTCAGCAATCACAGCAAAGTCTGGGAAATCTATAGCTGCTCGTAAAATGGTTCAGCCATACTTTGTTTTCAGGTACAAGGATTTGCTACAAGTCAACATCGGACTGTTTGATCAGTGTGTTCGCCTCACTGGTTCTAATGAAAACTCGGTGTTCACTCTAGCTACTAGAAGCAGTGTTACAACAGAAAAATTTATAGAGAAATTAAAACACGTTTTATCTATAGCGGCCATTTCACCAGTAGTAGAGAAAAGCCGCTCAGATACTGAAGGTGATTTCTACAGAAGCAGCCATCAGTACATGAAAGCAACTTTTGATGGAATAGTTTACACTCACCCAAGCCAGGTAAAGTTTGTTTACCCTGGTGAAGATGCTGTCCAAGACATCCTGTACCTGGTGAATGAGCGGACCTACAAAAGGAGGAAAGCCTCGCCACGTGTAGAAAGCGCTTCCAAGCTTTGGTTTTACCTGCAGTGTTACCTGCTGCCATCTGATGACTCGCCTGTCGCAGACAGAAGTCAGCCTAGAAGTGTTATAATTACAGCAAACAGTTTTTGCTTAGCAGAGGAAGATGTAGTTACCTACCCCTTGCCAGATTTTGTCCGTGGGGTTCCTGAGCACCCTTGTCATGAGATAGTTGAGTGCAGGCAGATTGACAACCTCAAGAGAATCACATTGTTCCATAGCCACCCTCATCTGGTTTGCTTGACTTTTGTTGATGAAACTGATGGCATTGTGGTGGATGTTTCCATGCAACACTTTGGAAAACTTGCGGCTGGCAAAGAGAAGCAACATATGTGCCCAGAAGTCACTTACAGGCTGTATGTCCAGAACATGAAAGAGAGGGACAAAATGATTCAGGTGCTGGACATTCTGTGGAAGGGGCTTGTGACTCAGATCGGGCGAATTTTGGATATCATCAAAATTTGAGCAGTAAAATAATCCTACTCAATTCAGTAGTATTTCAGAGTTTTTAAACTTTCTGTTTCAGTAACTGTTAGATGTTTGAATCACAACATCCTAATGTTGTGACATAATTATTTATTTAATGTCTATAAAATGTAACAGTCATTTTATTGAATATTGCTATTCTCCAGTGTGCAATTTCATTGTGATATTTCTTAAACTGAAATGACTTACTAATTTTTTTAAAAATTGTATTCTCAACTCAGCTGCACATTATTTAATGCCCTTATTGACTGTTTATTGTTACTTAGTTGATTAAAACCGATGAGCAATGAAAATAAAATCTACACAAGTAGAGGGAACAAGCATTTAACAGGACAATGACGGGCAAGCCAGATAAAGCCCATTAGCTTGGATGGAATCTGTCGCTAAAAAGTGAACCATACACAAATGCATACTGGCATAGGAGACAGTGATGCATGTGGTACACTCACTTTCAAGAGAAGTGAATAGGGAGGATTAGAAGAACAATTTTCAGTTTCTGTGATATTTGTTTGTAAAGAAGTAAAGGTTTTTTGTAATTGTTTGCCATTTTGATTCTATGTATGGTCATCTACTTGATTAACAAATGTTTAGTATATGTGTGTGCTGCTTTTGTCACATACCTTTGACAGTTCCATCTTTTGTTATGTGCATCTATTCATTCCCTCCTTCACTGGACTGTGAGTTGTTTTTATTAATCATTGGATGCAACGATATAATTTTTATATGATTAAACAGGAATTCTGGAATTTGTACCTGTTGATTCTCATCCATGAGTTGTCAGTTCTACAAAATACAACTCTGGAGGGGACACATTTAAATTTTAAAAAAATCTTTCAGAATGTTTGCCTACATAAATATAAACTTTTCAAGTTACATAAATGGGAGCAAGTACTTTAAAAAAAAATTATTAAACATCGTTGAAAGTCTATGATTAAGCACCAGCAAGGAAATCAAGGTTACAGTTTTTTAGAGCATGCATCTTTCCTGTAGCAACATACGAATGTGAGTTATGGACTATCTCCCAGTCATTTGGGGCTTTTAAACTGAAAGGCTGTAGAAAGATTCTCAGAATACTATAGACCAAGAAGATGGAAGATGCAAAAATACTGACATCCTAAAAGATCCTAACATCAGGGAAGATTGCCTAGTAAACAGCAGCTTGTCTCAGAAACTGAAATCATTTGGCCAAATAAAATGCCACAGTGGAAAGAAAAGTAGCAGAAGGCCTGGTGCCAGGAAATAAACATGGGCTGACCGGCATGAAGATGTGCACAAGATAAGAGTGACACATTGGACAAGAAACTGCATGAGGAGGGAGATCTGGCGAGAGACAAGAGTGTCCTCCAGGCAGGCTGTGATGAGCAACAAAGGACCTGCTACATGATGATGGCGACTTCCTTGTTAACAAATTAAGCTAATTCAGTGTGTACACATACATGAATTTACCACTCATGAAGTAAGATGCCTGAGGTAAGCTAATAATTTAACCATTAGGAACAGAAATGTGAGGACAACATCTGACGTCAGATACACTGATAAACAGAAAACCAAATTTGAACAAAGAAGACACAAAGAATAGACTTTATTGCCTGGCATATTTCGCTGTATCTCGTCAGGTGCATACTACAGTAACAAGTGAATAAATGAAGCAAATAGCTGAATCCTAGAAACTGAAACACAAATTTGAGTACATTCTACACTGTCTGTTTCACCAAGGTAACCTTGCAATAAATTGTGCAGTCTATTGTTTGTGTCTTCTTTGTTCAAATTCACATCGGGGAAACATTGCTTTGATTATCAGAAAAGCAAATGTTTTGGCATGCTAGAATGCAGCTACATCAGTTAGCAACAGGTGCTACGCTTAAGACAATCTGAGACAAGGGCACATGGGTACCTATGAAGATGATGGGTTGATGACGTTTGAGGCATTGTACATTCATACTTAATCTAGGCCTTCCAGGTCTGTTCAGCCTAACAAGGCTACTAGAAATTGGCCTTTCAAAATAAATGTCTAAGGAAAATCCTGCAAAATAATTTAGTCTAACAAGATCCCCGAAGAGGAAAACCAAATGTTTGTCACCGACAAATGTTATCAAAGACAGAAAAAAGGAGATAGCTTGGACATGTTTGCTGAATGCCTCATGACAGTTTGCCATTACAGCTCTTCCCTGGAAGATGGAAGAAAGAGACATGCATAACCTAAGGACAGCTATTCCCTGAAGATGGAAGAAAGAAACATGGATGACCTAAGGACAGCTCTTCCCTGAAGATGGAAGAAAGAGACATGGATGACCTAAGGACAGCTCTTCCCTGAAAATGGAAGAAAGAGACATGGATGACCTAAGGACAGCTCTTCCCTGAAGATGGAAGAAAGAGACATGGATGAGCTAAGGACAGCTCTTCCCTGAAGATGGGAGAAAGAGACATGGATGATCTAAGGACAGCTCTTTCCTGAAGATGGGAGAAAGAGACATGGATGACCTAAGGACAGCTCTTCCCTGAAAATGGAAGAAAGAGACATGGATGACCTAAGGACAGCTCTTCCCTGAAGATGGAAGAAAGAGACATGGATGACCTAAGAAAATCTGGAGAAGCATAGTAAAAAGGAAAAACAAAGGAATGTAAAATGACATGGAAAACCAAGGGCAGAAGAGCAGCAGATGAGTAGCAATGAAGGTCACTTGCGAGTTCCTTATGTGTCAACAATGACACAAAGACGATTTAGAGACAGAAGAAATGCCCAAGGACATAAAGGTGGCTGGCATGATATTGCCCACCTAACCCATCGAGTGCCGCTTGGTCAGTAAAAAATGTGGGTCACAAACCATGTGTCTGATATTTTCCATTTTGATTTTTTCAAACATTCCCACAAATGACATTTGCTGGTGTCAGCTGTCCAAGTGTTTTGCCACAGTTTCTTCCCATAATGCTGTGACTCAAATAGGGAAAGATGATGATGATGGTAAATGAGTACAAAACATAAAGGTTAAAGGTAACCGCTTCCATGTAAACATGATTGTGATGAAAAGTATATATAATGCCATCTGCAGCACACCTTCTGTGCTTGGCTGCATAATATAAACATTTTTTTTAATCTTCGTACAATTTTTGTCCATTGTTCTATTACTTCTCATGTCTTTTGTTCCATGAACACTCTCATTTTCGTATGTATATGCAGACTGTTCTAGCTGAGTTGAGTTGAGTCAAGAATTAACATCACAGCACTGAGGCATTCCCATGGGGGCTTCGTCCTCATCTTCAGCAGCCAGCGCAGAGTTTCAGTACTCATGGTTCTGGTCACAGTCTGGTTAAATGTCTGTCTTGCCTTTTCTCTGAGTGTAGTAAGCCGGCCCGACCCTCTGGTTACACACAGATGACCTCAATCTCTCCAGGCCATAATAATTGTGTTTCTCTACTGATTCCGTTGCTTATTCCCAAAGGGCCTTGACCACATCTGCCTAGTCATGTATCAATTCACCACCTAGTGGTGCAGATCCAGCCATTCTGTCTGTTCATTACCCACTATGCCGGCATAGCCTGGAGAAAAGATCTAAAGTATGCTCACTACCTTTGACCTTCCCAGTGAAGCTTTCCACACTGATCAAAGCAACCCTGTCTTCACCTTTCTCAGCATGCTTTCAGAGTGTTACATTTACAACATGTTTATGCATCTTGTTCTCTAGGCACCGAAGAGCTGCAGTTACCGCCTCCACCTCCATTCTCATGCTAGATAATGTGATGTCGCTATGCTAGGCTGTCTGGCACTAAAGGTTTTATATTGGCTTTCGCTATGAACCTCCAGGCACTACTCTTTCCTCTCAACACTGCTGAACCATCTGTTTAGATAATCAGATCACCTGGCCGTGAATTGTCATGAATAAAATTGTCATGTTCTAGCTGTATCAGTTTAACCTGATAGCTAAAATGTTGACTTCTTGTTTAATAATTGTTTTATACTTGAAGATCTTTTGATACATTACTTTATGTAAAATAAACTCTAGACAGTGAAAGTTCATGAGGTAGAAAACATGGCAAGGAATGGGGAGATGAGAGTGACATTCTGCAAAGGACCTGCTGCTACATGATAGCATGTAAAATTGTTTACTAAAGGTGTACAGTTGGCGAATGATGTGATTAGAGCTACATACAAAATGTGAGTCAGTCCTGTTTATATGTACAGAATGATTGCTGGCGTGTTAGTTAATGTGTACAGAATGATTGCTGGTGTGTTAGTTTATGTGTACAGAATGATTGCTGGCATGTTAGTTTATGTGTACAGAATGATTGCTGGTGTGTTAAGTTTATGTGTACAGAATGATTGCTGGCATGTTAGTTTATGTGTTTCTGATTGCTGGTGTGTTCGTTTATGTGTACAAAATGATTGCTGGTGTGTTAGTTTATATGTACAGAATGATTGCTGGTGTGTTCGTTTATATGTACAGAATGATTGCTGGTGTGTTAGTTTATATGTTCATAATGATTGATAGAGTGTTAGTCTATATGTTCAGAATGATTGCTGGTGTGTTAGTTTATGTACAGAATGATTGCTTGTGTGTGTTAGTTTATATGTACAGAATGATTGCTTGTGTGTTAGTTTATTTGTACAGAGTTGAGTTGAGTGAAGAATTGACATCACAGCGCACGGGACATTCGCATGCATGCTCCGTCCTCATCTTCAGCAGCCAGAGTAGAGTTCCAGTGTATGAGATGTATATGTACAGAATGATTGCTGGTGTGTTGGTTTATATGTACAGAATGATTGCTGGTGTCTAAGTTTATTTGTACAGATTGATTGCTGGTGTCTTTGTTTATATGTACAGAATGATTGCTGGGGTGTTAGTTTATGTGTACATAATGATGCTTGTAATATTAATTTATATGTGCAGTATAATTCATTAAGTGTTAATGTTTATGTACAGAATGATTAATTGTTTTTTCACTAATACATGCAGATTGATTTATTGCTTATTACTTGATAA